GTGGAAAGGATTTTGTGCATTCTTTCGATGCTTTTTGTACTTGATACATGTAGTCTTAAGTGTGCATTCTAGTTGTACTGAAGCAACCTAGCTGCAGAAATTACTGCTGCAGACTTGCACATGAAGTTAAAAGCGAGCAAAAAGTATCTCAGAGAGAACTATATTCACTTATGAGGGCTATTATATCAGGGGCTAGGCAGGAAATCAAGATAACAGTGGGAAAGACAAGGGAGCAAATATGCATTGATCCATAAGTTTACATATCCACATAGTTCAGGAGGACTTGCTGCTCTGAGGTCTATCCCCACGTATGTTTGCATTATCCTCACTTTTAGAAGACTACATGCCCCCTTAATCATGCAACCTTAATCACGCTGTTTGGCTATTTTAGTTCATTGTATTAATAAGTTCAATGTAATAAGTTTATCCAAATGCAACTATTGGAGAAAACTGTCTTCTCTTTAAAAGATATTACTAGATATGTTTGTTTATATTTCATCTTCAATTGCAGAGAAACTCAACGCTTATCAGCAATAAGCCAGCAGTGTGTGAGCCCAGTTATGGGCTGAAAATTAGCAAAATCCTCTCATGAGCTGTTCTAGGTATATTAATTGTTAAGGGACTTGCTGGAAGAGGAGTTCTGGTTCGCTTTTCCCATTTTGCCCAGCAAATTAAGGAAATAAACCATAAGGTGTGACTTACACACCCTAGGTGGGATCTAAACAGAAAATATTATTCCATCAGTTGTTCTAATTTTATATTCAGTGCTTTGATTTACTCATATGTAATATAGTTATAATACCTACCTCACAAGAATTGTGTGAGACTTCATTCATATTTATGAAGACTGGAAAGCTTTTTGCATGGATAGTGTTATGTAAACGCTTGTATGTGTGACCGTTTTGAAGATGTTGGCTTGTTCGCTCATGCTCTGATTGCCTCCTTTTTTCCCTTATAGATGTCAGGCATTCTGAGGTGCTGAATCATACTAATGAAAGCTTTGTGAAAATATCTTTCTGTCGATCTTGAATTGTCTTCCTTTCTCTCGATTCTTTCTGTGTTTGTTCACTTATGCTTGATTAGTCTGCTTGTAGCTCTCGACTTTTGTGCATATAAGTGACAGAATTGAAGGGAATATAATTTCAAGAGGATGTTCTTAATGCACTTAATTGATGTAGTCCTAATGTTTCCTGGATGCCTACATTAGTGTTAAGAGTTGAATGATTTATCCCCTTGGAATTGCTGGTGTTATCCATAATTGAATTTTAGCAATGGCTAACTAATAAATATGTGATCTTTCAAATAAATAGATTTCTAAAACTGCATGTTCTAATTGCATTGAAAATCAGTGCTTAAATTATAGAGGGAGAGGTCAAGGGTCTGCATGAAATCTAAAGCCCCAACTTCTGACTTCACCAATTTTTTGGAATCAGCTGTTCCCAAAACAGCAGATGAAATACAGTCTCCATTTCCCCCACTGTAATTTGAGCACTGCTGGTGGCTCCATGGAGAGGATGAAAAAACCTTAAAATCCCCAGCTATCACACTTGCTAACAAGTTAGCAAGGCTGATCTGCATCAACTAAAAGCACATATGCAATAGCTGTCACTTACACAGCTCTGTAGCTTGGTGAAACGAGTGACCATTTTTCCAGCAGTGAAGCAAAATGTACTTTGAATGGCTTTGATTGTCCTATTTCCCTTTCCAAATAAACTACTTGTCTTAGTTACAGTCAAGGACTGGAAAAAAATGATTTTGCTATAGTTAAATGATGGTGGTAGTGGTGGTTAGCATAATGTTATTCGTTCCAGAAAGTATTAACCTCAATCTGGTATTACCCAGGCACTATATAAGAAGGTTTGCCAGCTTTCGTATCCATCGGCTTCTGTGCCTTTATTAGTTTCACCTAGGCCTTGTAGTTCAATTGGTACACTTTGTCCTGGTGTAAATATGTGGTGATGAAAGAGTGCTGTGAAAAATGAATTCTTCCCTGCTGTTAATAACTGAAACCACACTGAGATTTGCTGGGAAAACGTGGAGGATAAATAGGCAGTTTCTCTGTGGTTGCGGAAAAATCAGCATTTGTGGGATTTTTTTTTATTTTTTTTTGTGTGATGCAGCCATCATAACGAAGCATTTGTTTCACTGCACTCCTGTTTTCTCTATATCTGTACATTTGTCACTGAAGTGATTAAAGTTTCACACTAAGCCTTATGTCAGGGAAAAAAACATCTTTCAGAAGTGCACAAAAGCTAGAAGTATCTCAGTTATTGAGCAGCTTGCAGCAAAAGAAATGGTTTATCAGGAAGATGCCCTTTCTGTGCCATTTAAGGGCTATGCATTCAAATCCTTTTAAGATTTGTGGCTTTAAATAAGAAATGGGCATTCTGTTACAAGTATATAAAGGACTGGTTTAAGATATCAGACCCATTTCAGTGATTATGCTGAATCATGATTTGAGCATACGTAACATCTTAAGTCCTAGCTCTTTTCCCAAACAAGATTCAGTAGATAGCTATGTACTTAAGAGCGTTATGTCTGCTCAGGATTTCCAAATACAGGTCAACATTAACTATGCACAAAATAAAAAAAAAATAAAAAAGAATGTTGAGAAGGATATTGGAGTGAGCGGATTTGACAAGTGAAAGTTATTATAATACCAAATGCTGAGCGTGTAAAATACAATGACAGGGCTTATGTAATTGAATAATTTATTGCCATATTGTGAGCTATACTGATGAGAACAGTGAAGAAGTTGAACGATCCAGAAAGCTACTAGAGTCTGGCAAAGTGAAAAGGACTATTTGCCTTGAGTTTAATCTTGGCATGTGCAAGCAGTGTGCCACCCTCTTGACAATCGAAAATTTCAGACTTGTGTGATAAGCTGTAGCCTGGCAGCCACAAACATTCATAGTCTGCATATTTTGATGTCAGTACACTACTGTATTGTAGCTGTGTGGTATATGCTGCACCATTAATGGTGTATACCTTTATGTTAGAGTTTGCTAATGTAATACATTTCAATAAAAAGCTGTTTAAAGACACAGTGTTGTTCAATGGAAGTTGTGTTTGGGAGAACTGCATTGCTTGCTAAATCTCAATGCATAATCTGTAAGATTATCTTTGAATTCAGGGCCCAGCATGTCTGTGAGTTGCAAGCTGGCTGGTCACATGTTTATGTCTTTTCTCTCTTTCACTTCTCTCTCATCCCACTTGGATATTCAAAATGACAGACACACTCCAGGGTTAAGACGTCAAAAAAAAAAGAGGAGACTGGTTTAGGAGATAGGGATGGTAATCTTATGTGCCCAGAGAGCTGTGCTCTAACACTGCATTTTATTAATACTTATTTTACTTTGCATGGTACAGTATTCTGCCCCTCATTATAATAATCTTCCTGGAAAATCGTATTAGATTTCTTGAGGGAAAGGAGTTAGATGGGAGAAAAAAAAGAAAAAAACAATGAATGTTGCTAGCACCCAAGATCAAGATGTATGGCTTCTATCTACACAGAACAGCATAAAAATGCAAAATGGATATAAGTGATCTGTGGCAATGAATAAGTATTAGTTCAAATCAAGAAGGCAAAATACAAAGGAAGTTGTCTTTTCCAAGATCTATGGATAGAAAATCTCCTATCCTGAGAACTGGAAGATACAAAACCCACAACTTGAACTTGCTATGGTTAAACAAACCCATCTAGCTATAACCACTGTCTCTTAGGATACAATTTTGACATCATCACTTGATTGGGGACAAATATGTATACATAATTATCATCAATGGATGATTGATGCTGCGTCCTGCACCAATGGAAGGCCTCATGTAGGAGTTTACTCTCTCTCTTCCACTAACACCTACTGGAACCAGCCCTCAAAGAAGAGAGCCACCACAGCACCATGCTTCCCCCAACATGCTAAGACAGTCCAGAAGAATGCCATCTGATTTCAGTGATACTTGTCCAACTGGACTTGGCAACTGGATTCCTGCAGCATACGTAGGGTGGCCTTTGAAGATGATTTGGAAACTGGCTAGTCCAGAAAGCAGGGGCTCAATGACAACTGGCACTTCTTGAGGTGACCTATTACTCACTGTTTGATGGAATTGAAGGCTGCTGAAAGACTGAGGAAGAACCAGAATGGTTACACTTATCCTGAGTCCACCAGAGATCATCAATAAGTGCAACTAATGCTCTCACAGTACTGTGCCTGAGTCTGACACCAGGCTAAAAGAGTCCAGAATACTATGGGAAAGGTGCAGAAATCAACTGGCAAACAGTGCGTATCGCTGAAGTATCACTGAAATCAGATGGCTGCTCTCCAGGTAAGGGTGCAATCGATTAAACATTCCACCCATGGTTGGGAAGTTATCTAACATCATTGATTCCAGAGCTCCACTCTTTAAAAGCAACCTTTTTCCCCCCACTAAGTTCATCCAGAAGCTTAAAATGGTTAGGACTGCTTTATGAAGAGCAAGGATACTCTGGGCTAAGGAAAGTCCTGAAGATTAGATTCCTGTGCAATTTGCGACCATTGCATAGCCCTAGAATCTAAACAGTTAACCATGGTTAGACAATCCACAGATTAGAGCATTATATGATCTTATATAACTATATAATATAGTTAAGGGGGGGGGAGTGTAATGTAAAACATTATATATAGCGCGTTATCTAACAACCTCAGATGTCATAGCCCACTTTCCCCTCAGCAAAAGCCAGCCTGATTTTCGTTTTAATTCGATTTTAGACAGTGCTAAGCAAATGCAACCATCCGAATCGCTTTCAAGAAAAATAACCGTCTTATAGATACGCCCCCCAACGTTGGGATTTGTTTGGCCGCAATAGACTTACAGGCGACGAGGGGAAAAGAGAGAGAGAGAGAGAGAGAGAGAGAATGCCCGGCCTCCTGGGATGCCCTGTGCCAGCCGCGACGCTAGGGGGCGCGGCCGACAGACGCCGCCGAACTTGCTCGTTCTGACGGCAGCGTAAGCGGCCCCGTGACCACCTGTGACCGCTGGCCCGAGCGCCGGTTCTGAGAGGGGAGGCAGCCTGAGCGGGGGGCGGAGGGCGGAGGCGGCGGCTGGGCCAGGGCGGCCGCCTCAGCAGCAGCAACAGCAGCAGCAACGCCATCATCATGTGGCTGAGCCCCGAGGAGGTGCTGCTGGCGAACGCGCTCTGGATCACCGAGCGGGCCAACCCTTTCTTCCTCCTCCAGCGGCGGCGGGGCCACGGCAAGGGGGGCGGCCTGACGGGTAAGTGGTCGGCAGGGAGGGAGTGGCCACCGCCGCCGCCGCCCGTATCGCCGTGGCCCCGAAAGGTCCGCCCTGAGAGAAGGAGGCGACGTGCGGATCGGCCGGGGCCTAGGTTCAGGGGGGGTTCGGCATCCTCTTGAGTAGGTCTGCCCCCCCCCCCCCGATCTCCACGAAAGCCAGCAGAGGGTTTAAGCCTGTCAACGGAGCAGCCTTGAGCGGTTCCAGAGAGGCCTTTTTATCTGAGGCTTTGATTGGCAAGATCTCTCCCACCCTTCCTGTCGGTTTTCGTGGAGATGCTTCTGGCTGGAGAAAGTGTTAACCCGCAAGCATTTCGGTTTGACAGGCTTGAAAGATAAAACTGTGGTCTTTATAGTAATTGGCATCCTCATCTTTTTCTGAAAAGCTGATATTGTATTCTGTTAGGGAGTGCGTTAGGTTACCTTGTACCAGGTATCTACCCAAAGGTGCATTTTCAGGAGGCAACTGGATTTAACATAGAATAATAGAGTTGGAAGGGACCTTGGAGGTCATCTAGTCCAACCCCCTGCTCGAGCAGGAGAGTCTATTCCAAATATTAGCCTCTACCTAGGATCAAACTTACAGCCTCCCAATTGTGAGGCGAGAGCTCCACCTCTAGGCCACCACCCTGGTATTTCCTTGGTTTTTTTTTTTCTTTGAAGATGTTTTGCTTCTCATCCAAGAAGCTTCTTCAGTTCTGACATGACCCATTCCCCACTATCCTGTCAGAGCTGAAGAAGCTTCTTGGATAAGAAGCAAAACATCTCTCAAGAAAAAAAAAACAAGGAAGTCCTGTGTTCTCTTGAAAAAGCACCTTTGGGACAACTATGACCCGGATGGCTGAGAATCTCTACGGGTTTGTACCAGGCATCTACCTAGAAATATAGAGGAGATGTTTTGTGGGTTTATCTTTTAGACTCCAGCAGTTCGTGTAAAAGGATGGTATATGTCACTTAGAAATTGGAATATCTGGGGTTGCTGAAGATTTTATTTTAAGAGATAAAATACTAAGATTATGTTCAACTTAAAGTTATGGTTTTCTTTTTCAAAATGGAAGCTCTGAATTGCAGAAGTATTATTTAAATTTGTTATAGCCACCCGTTTCAAAAGATTCTATTTTCATTAGCTTAAGGTCTTCAATATTGATGATTCCTACCACCGTCAATCACCAATATTTATCCTGTAATTTATTTATTTTACTTAAGTCTCTAGTTTTTCAAATGCATTTCGTTTGAGAGAGTGTTTGGTTGTGGGCGAAAAAGAAGAAGCAGTTAAAAAAAACCAGGAAATTTCTGAATAGTACACAGTGTCTATAGCTAACATGAATTTCTTGGCACTAGAAATTCACAAATATGATATAGATTACCAGGGATGGATGGATGGATGGACAGACAGACAAACTATATAACAAACATATAAACAAAAAAAATCAAAGAGCCAACTTGGACCACTAGGTCTTTTCCTGCTATCAGTTTTCTATTTTTCTGTAACAATATATAAAACTAGAAAGTCACAGATACAATGTAGATAACTTTAAACAAGATAGATTTTTCTTCTTCAGAAATCTAGTCCACCCTCAACATGGGAACTGTATAGGTAACTTTGCTGATCACTCTTTCTCAACTCAACCTAACTCACAGGGTTGTTGTGGAGAGAAATAGGATGAGGAAAAATACACACGCCAGTTTCAGCTTGTGTAGAAGAAGTAGGATGTTAATAAAAGAAATATATCTACATTTTAAGTTCAGATTCCATATTTTGTAAATATGTTCCTTATAGGCAACAATGAACTAATAAGTCTGATAGAGCTTGTAATTTTGTAATTTTAATTTTGATTTTTATAATGTCAGCCATTACAGCCATGTTTGTTTATTTATTGAATTTATATTGCTGCCTATTCACCCATGGTGACTCAAGGCGGCTTACACAATGTAAAACCATATTTAATTTTTTTTTTAAAGTATATTTTTCATATACTTGACTCATGTACAGTTCTTAAGTGCTAATAAGGGTTAAAATTATATAAGAATTACAACCAAATTCCAGTAGCCTATGGATCAGGTTGGGGCAAACAATTTCATAATATTCAACTGTATTAGTAATGTAGGTGCTTGGAGGCCCTATTTCAAGGTAAATCCTTTGAAGGCAGACAAGGTCAGGATGCTATAGCCCTGGGGAGTGAGGGAATGTTTCTCAGAGGCCAGAAACAGTCTTGCAAGTTTTATTGTCTTGAATAAATTTCCAAGGTAGTTCTAAAAAATAACAAACAAATAAAAGGAGAATTGGTATGTCACTTATCTAGTACTAAAATGTCAGCCACTTCGATACAGTGGTTAAAAAGCCAGTGGATACAGTGATTAGAAACTCAGCAGTTCTAGTCCTGGCTTTGGCACAAAGCCAACTGGATGATCTTGGGTGACTCTCTCAGCCCTAGGATGGAGGCAGTGGCAAACCACTTCTGGGAAATTTTGCCAAGAAAACTGCAGTGACTTGACCAGGCAGTCGCCAGGAGCCCACACGGTCTCAAAGGCACACACACAAACACAAACACCATGCAATTAAATTGCTTTCAAAATGGCTAATATGCTACTATGATTGGTAATATTGCCATTTGCTAAATTATCCTGGGGTGACTAAAATTTAGACAGAACTTTGACTAATTTGGTTTAATATACCATTGGAAAATGTTATGGAAACATTGTCCCTTGGATGTACTGTTATGCTGTGTAGAATAGAATAGAATAGAATAGAATAGAATAGAATAGAATAGAATAGAATAGAGTACTTTATTGGCCAAGTGTGATTGGACACACAAGGAATTTGTCTTGGTGTAAATACTCTCAGTATGCATAAAGAAAAGGTACATTCATTAAGAGTCAAGAATCATAAGGTACAACACTTAATGATAGTCATAGGGTACAATCAACAATCAAATCATACTAGGAAACAGTCAATATAGATCGTAAGGATACAAGCAACAAAGTTACAGTCCTACAGTCACAAGTGGGAAGGGATGGGTGATAAGGAGTGATGAGAAGATTAACAGTAATATGTCTAAAAACATGTATCGAGATATACTGAATCATACTCATACCCATTATAGAGCTATAGTAAAACAGTTATTTCTTTGTGTACTTAATTGAATTCATTTGGGTGGAGATAACAATCCACTGAATATTTAAGTTTTCTATTATCAACCAATAAGTACTGTAGTTACTAGTTTTGTCATATAAACTCTTCTTTCAAAAAATAATTGTGGAAATAGAAGCCAAGGCAGCAAATACTAGTTTTGTAATGTAATCATGTTGATGCCATTAGTTATCCAGAGAAACTTAGGTTATCCAGAGAAACTCTTGATGTATACAGTACAGTAATTGGATAGATTACATGTATGGCTTGTTTACAGATGCTTTATTTGTTTCAAAACTGCTTTGTTTGACCATTTTGTAAACTAGTAAACCAGTTCACTAGTTTATTTGCTTCATCAGTAAATGAGCCTACCATTGTATAAATGTTTTCAGCAGTTACTGGAAATTCTCTTATCTAATCTCAGAGACATGAAATGCCCTTCCCTGATGTACGTGGGGAGTTTGGAATTTGCAGCAGATATTTTTTCTTTGCACCCTAGGAAAGAAGCATGTGCTGCTACCTAGGATTGAACTCTAAACCTTTTGAGTGGGAGGCAAACATCTTCACCACTAGGCCACCTAAATAGGGACCTTCTGGAAGATGCTCAGCTGTGGATTTAATGTATTTGAAAATGAAAAAAGACAGCCATTTTGTCTTGGGAGATTGATCACTGAGAATCCTCTCTGAATGAGTCATACATTATACTAAGCTTTGGTTTAGTGTGATGAGTAAATCCATCTTTTTTGGATTAAGCATACATTTAATTGGTCATTTAGAAATTGCATGTGGGCAAATACAAAAAGGAGTTGTTTGAATTCAAATTGGAGATGGAGCTTTATTAACATACATTTAACATATCATTAGTTATTATCTATGCAATAATTGTCTCCCAATCTCCTTTACTCTTCTTCTTTATTATCTCTTGCCGCTGTAGATTAGTGGAAGTCATTGTCTATAGTAGTATGTGAGAAAGACCTTGGGAGAGGGTTGAAGAGTTCCTGATTAAAAAAAGGTCAGATAAGAGACAGCATAGCCCATAAGGGATGGAGCAAGAAGCTCAGAAGGAGCCCTCCCTAAGTTGTCAAGTTGTAAAGATGATGGCAGAAGAATTTTACTTTCAGACATACAAGATTCTGTTAAAGTAGTTTTACAATTAGTTTATCTTGTGTTTCCTATTTGGTAAGGCTGACATTATTTTATGGCAATCATTGAGCTGAATTATAAACCATAACACCAGTCAACATGTCATATGGTATAGCGAGGAAGTTGTATTGCTACATTTGAAACTTGTTCCCCATTTGGTTTATAAGCTTTAGAAAGGTTCTCGTCGAATATTTTCTAAAAATCGAATTGCTGTAGTAAATAGAGTTCAGTTACAGAGGAGTTCTTACAAGCTGCGTTTGGCCCATAATCCAGAGGCTCCCCATTCCTGCTTTGGGTAGTTTCTACCATCAGGTTTTAGCAACATGCACAAACGTTACTTGCTAGACAATTGTCTTCATAACAGTACAAAATTTATCGTTAGCTATTTTCTCAGAATTTTGAATAATTATTCTTTAAAACTTAGTGTACCCTCATTTTTTTTCCTAACAGCATAAAATCAAAATATTGGAACGGCCGTTTAAGCTATTGAGCCCAATGTCTTGCTCAATGCAGGACTGCAAAGTTAAAAAGACCTTGGCAGATGATTGTCTAGACCAGTGTTTTTCAAGCTTTAAAATGGCAGCCTTCAATTCCTAGAATTCCCCATCCTGCATTCCCAATTCTGAAAGTTTAAGTCCATGCATCTTAAAGTTGCCAAGTTTGAAAAACACTCATCTAGTTTCAATTTGAACATATCAAAGAAAGTAGATTCCACCATCTCTCTTGGTCATGTCAGACAAAAGCAAATCATTTCCTTTATTTATTTAGCATATGATGGAAACATGACAGAAAAGAAGTAAACATACACACAAATTTTATACAAAACTTCTAGTGGGTACAGCAGTGGCCTCATTCAGCTATCCAGGCATCTTGCTTTGCTTTACGTAGACCTTCTAGGGAACCAAAGAATGCATGTTATGGGCAATCTTGTGCAATATATTTAATAGGTTGCATATCAGAACCACAATCGCAACAAGGGGAAAACTTTCCATCTCTATTGATATTATTTCCTTTAAAAATGAAACATGTAAATTTCCAACAGTAACTATTTCAAACTGGGTTTTTTCCTCATCATTGGAACATCCAATTAGAGTTCAAATTTTTAATTTACTGTCTTTTAAAATGTTATGTTCAATATAAATTATTACATTGATTTTTTTTTTAATTAGATAATGTCCCTAACATTCTTTTCTGCATTTTCATTGGCTTAGGACTGCTCGTAGGAACTTTGGATGTGGTTTTGGACTCCAGTGCTAGAGTTGCTCCTTATAGGATCTTGCATCAAACACAAGATTCTCAGATATATTGGGCAGTGGCTTGTGGTAAGTTCTGATACATAACCAGATAAGCAAAATGTTTTTAAACACAAACTGATGAACATTTCCTCTTTTGCCCAGTTTCAGCGACTCATATATTAGGGGTGTGTGACATGGATACTCAGACCTTTAATTTAGAACTCTTTAATTAAATGAGGGACAAAAACTCCTGATCCAAATAGAAATTTAAAAGAAAATGACTTGACAAATGACTGTCTAATATAAACATTTTCATCTTTTTATGTATGTGTCACTTTTATTATAGGAAAGCTTTGCTTATATCTTCTCTGTGGTTGTTCTTAATCTCTGTCTAGGCTCAAACCGTCAGGAAATTACAAGCCATTGGGAATGGCTAGAGAATAATTTGCTCCAGACTCTTGCAATCTTTGACAGTGAAGAAGATATTACTACCTTTGTCAAGGGTAAAATACATGTAAGAGGTGTTCTTCTTGCCACATTCCTTAATAAATGAAAGACAAACTGTTGAGAGCTATAGATTTTAAGCGTCTGTGTAAAATTCAGTGGGACAGATACTCATAGTATAGTATACATTAAATAGGGATTTTTCAAGGACAACCCATAGAGATTGCTTACTACTGTATCATTTTTGCCTGAAGCTTCTAGTTAGCTGCTTTAATATTTCACTGTGTAATTAGAGTGCTGTAACGTATGTTGACTTCCATTAGGAGGGAAAAATATTTTGGGGCTTGAAAATAAGTACCTGGGCTTACTTTGGGGCAGGGGCTTTGTCTACTTGCAAAGCTAATCACTCCATTTCAAACTGCCCCCTTTGCAAGAACAAAGCTTTGAGTTTCTGTCATTTCTCCCTCTGGGCGAAAAGTGTGCAGCAGAGCCAGGCAGAGGTAGAGGAGATCTCAACATGCCACCTGCTCCATCCCACCATCTCTCGGCTTGTCTGCAACTACGCTGACCAAAGACCCTTCCAGGGCATTGGGATCACCTGCCTCCCCCATGCCTCTGCCTGCTGCTCTTGCCATTGCGCAAGCCTCCCACGAGCTTCCCTGAGTCAAGCATCTGCGCAGCACATCCAGTTTTCCTGTTTTCTAGGGCTTGTTTTCAGAGTGGGTCTTATTTTCAAGGAAACACTGTATATATTCAAAATGGACTATGATTAGTATGTGTATGTATGTATATAGGCAGACAGACAGACAGACAGATACTCTTTTGAGAGAAGACATCAGAATTCCATTTTTTTTATGTGTGCCAGTGTGTTCACAGAAAAAAGTGACAGTAAATGTTATCTTCTTTCGTGTTCCTTTACTTCCGGCACCGCTTTCTTTATAGGTAGGGAAGCATTTCAGATGTTTCTGTACAATCTATAGTGACATATAACAGAAATAAAGGTAATCCATATATGATTCAGGCAGGTGGATAAACCTTCTGAAGCCACAATAATGTTATTAACAATCATGAATATGCTAACATAGTTTTTGGAGCATTGAATATGGAGTTTTGAACATTAGGAAATTGTGCATGCATACATAAGAAGTGCAATTTATAGAGGAATATTTGTGTTTAACGGTTAACTAATGCAACAAATGAAAAAGCTCTCGTTTTTCCTTGTCACTTTTTCCTTCAGGGAATTATTGCTGAAGAGAATAAGAACCGACAGCCACAGGGGGAAGAAGATCCTGGCAAATTTAAGGAAGCAGAATTGAAGATGCGCAAGCAGTTTGGAATGCCTGAAGTAGAGAAACTTGTCAATTACTATTCTTGCAGTTATTGGAAAGGGCGTGTGCCAAGACAGGGCTGGCTGTATCTCACTGTTAATCACCTTTGCTTCTATTCCTTCCTTTTGGGCAAAGAAGGTAACCTGTCAATGAGGTGTTTCTTATTGTTTAATGTTTCAGATATTTATTATATTCTGATAGCATTGCCTCTTTCAACCTACTTTTTGATTAGGGAACTGCAACAACACTCCTACTACTCTAACAATAAATTTCACAACTCCCATATCTCTCCCATAGAGTGGATCTGAAATAGCATCTTTTAATCTTATTGCTTTATTGGAGTTCAGCAACGGGCATCAGTATTGATAAAATATCTGTAAATTATTTTAAAAGATTTTCCATATAATTCTCTGACAGTAATTGATGAATTGGGTTTACTTGTTTCTGCAGTGACCCTTATAGTGCAGTGGGTAGATATAACACAGCTAGAGAAGAATGCTACCCTTCTGTTTCCTGAGTGCATCAAAGTGAGTACCAGAGACAGTGAACTCTACTTTTCTATGTTCGTCAGTATCAATGAGACGTTCAAATTAATGGAACAGTTGGCTAACATTGCCATGCGTCAACTATTTGATAATAAAAGTTTCACGGAGGATATGGTGCTTCCCAAACCCAGCAAGCCACTCAAGAATATCTCAGCACTCAAGAGGTAAGCATGCATAAGTACCTGTGTTTGTCTTCCAAGGTTTTAGGACACCGTCAGACAAGGTGTCGGGCATTCTATGATTGGCTTAAGTCCAAATAGAAACAGCCTCAAATGTTTACGTAACTTAAGAACAAAAACAAACTATGTTTTCCCAAAAGAAAGAAACTAATATTTCCTTTGTACAGAGAGAATGCCTTTCACCAACCTGATGAAGTGTAAGTCTTTTCATAACTAAATAACATGCCTTTTTCTATAGTGTGAAAATGTTATTTTTTCCTGGCATTTCCTTTCTTATGGAGTATACTTTGAGGCTAGTGTATATACGTGCACAGATGCATATATTCATACACACATCAAAGGTGTAGGCACATTTGAGGAAGAAAACATATCCAGCATTGATTTCAGCTGTGGTGGTTGATGCTAAGTTGATAAGACGGTGAAACTAGGCATTAGGTAGTACTTGTGTATGTGTTTATCATTTGTTTTCTGCCTATTTTTCTATGGGATATTTTCTGTTTTGTGCTTTTTAGTACGATTTGCAAAAATAATGCATTTTTTCAATTTTCATGTTTTAAATGAAAAAAAAATGAAAATATGCAACCAGATAATAATCCAAGGAGATTATTTCTGATCTGTCCAATTATTTTGGGGCCATTCTTGATCTGAATTGGAGGAACACAAGTCTGACTGAAATCTCAAATACAAACTTCATTTTCTTCCCAATGTCTTTCATAAACACATGCTCAATTTCTATCCTTGTATTTTTCCTAGAGCTGCCAGAAAAAAATGGAGATAAGAAACTTGTAGATGATATTTGAGTTTGCATTTTTCTTCTTCCCATGCAGCCTTATTTATATCCAAAAAATTTATTGTTTATGTAATCCAAGAATCTTTGAATAAAATCTTTGATTTTGTTGAAGATATGGAATTGATTTCAAGAAGATAGGATTGCTCTTTCTGTTGTTCCAATTGAATTTTATTATATTTCTAACTATAGAGTCATGGGTGGAAGTCCCCATATGGAACCTCCATAATTAAACCACTGGTTTTTTTTCCCAGTTCTCTTTATTTAAATAATTTACATAGCTGACCATCTTAAACAAGTAACTAGCCAGCAAACAGATTATGCAACAGACTAATGTTATAAAGCTAATCTAAATTAAACAAATATAATTACAATAACCACAATACAGTAATCAAAGCACCACAGAAATAGGTCACGATACTAAAATGCACATTTCAGGCTCCGTTAATAACCTGGCACTAATGCCTGAGAGAAAAGCTAGGACTTCACATCTTTTAAGAGACTGACTCTCATATGCACATGCCAAGATAATTACAGTTTTTTTGGATAATTTTTAATTTGTTTTTCTACTTGAGATTTTCTGGGGCCAGAGAAAGATTAATCTTTCATTTATTTAGGCAATATTATATATAGCTTCTTGTTGCCAACTTGCAAAACTAGTTTTCTCTGAATTCAGTCCTGGAAAAAGTAACTATGTCTAATCATGCTGCAGCTAATGCATTTACCCCAAAGAAAGACAATTCAACCTAAAAGGAAAAAATGACAAAATAGGCTATATGCTCTTGAATTTATAAAGACAAATTCTATGGAAAACAAAAATGGTTGTCCTTCTAGATGAATTCTCTCCCAGAATTAGTGGCCCACCTATACCCTATATATTTGAACCAAATTTCTGTACTGTTCTTATTTCTTTTTTTTTATCCCATCTAAATATTTACGTTGCCCTAAGCAGTGTCCTTTTTCTTTCTCTGACCAAATGTCCTACAGTATTAGCCTGATCTTTCCATTGACATACTATCTTCATAGTGCTATTGTTCTTTCTTTGGAACCACAGCAGTTCTTTAAAGGATATTTTTATTATAGTTCCTTACTTACTGAAAAGCATGTACAGGTGCCTGAAAATCTTGATCATTGAGCAAAGGGGTTGTTAAATGAGATGCCACATGACCATTTCTCTCAATGATTGCAATTCTGATTCTCCCACTAAACAACCACATGGGTCATTAAGTAGAACATCATGGAGAAGGCTGCCAGGTATGGTGGGGCAAGGAGAGAAGATGGCAAATGGGGATCACGTGGTTGCTGGGCATTTTGCACCCAGTTATAAATGCAAACATGTTAACAAGCATCTGAAATGTCCTGTGACTGGGAGAATCTGGCATGAATGGCCAAAAAGACACCTGTTCTGAGGCCATTGTGACTGCAAGTGGTCATTAAACAACCAGTTGTAAGTTGAGGACTACCTGGATCTGTACTAAGGATTTTTGGCAATCAGTGGTTCAATATGACTATATGTTTAGTGGAAGTTCTTTTTTGAAATTATATTTAAAAAGGATTGTGCATGATTGAAGGTAAAGTCCAACGCATCTGAAGGGGACATGTTAGAAAAAGACTACTGTAATGAATTTCTCAGTTACCCCATTGGCATGTGTGCATATATATTTCATTTTCTTTAGGGATCTGGATGCCAGAGCCAAAAATGAATGGTACCGTGCTACTTTTCGATTGCCCAAGGATGAACGGCTTGATGGGCACACAGACTGTACTTTGTGGACCCCATTCAATAAAATCCACATTCTCGGCCAGATGTTTGTTTCCAATAACTATATCTGTTTTGCTAGCAAGGCAGAAGAGGCATGCCATCTCATAATACCACTTAGGGAGGTGAGAAGTTGTTTTTGATAATGAATTACCTTGAGAGCCCACCATTCAGTTATTGGATTAAGTTTGAAGGATTTCCTTAAAGGTAGTAGGATTTTGGTTTTGAACCTCAGTATATTAGTCCATTGGTTAAATAAGTAATTCTCTGGGGTGATGGAAACAAGATGCATATCTTGATATACGTCATTTATCCCTCTATGTATGCTGTAGGTTACAATTGTTGAGAAAGCAGACAGCTCCAGCATTTTGCCTAGCCCACTTTCCATCAGCACTCGAAGCAAAATGACCTTCCTCTTTGCCAACCTGAAGGACCGAGACTTCCTAGTACAGAGAATTTCTGATTTCCTACAGAGGACTCCTTCAAAGCAAACATGCAGTGACATAGGGCAAAAGAAGAGTATTGATGACCATGCCTCTGAGGTACAGTGCCAGCAATGTGCCTTGAAACGATCCTCTATAAATATTTATAAAATTCTGTCCGTTGACTGTGATTTCTATTATTGACAAGGCTTTCAAACTGATTAGATAGCATTGACTACCTCAGTTCCCAGAACAAGAAGGAAAACCACTGAGATCTCTATCTAAAGTAGCTGGGGAAAAGAAGTAGCTCGAGATTAGAGCATATGGAGTCATTCCATTCTGACTGACATTCCATTCCATTCTATTCCATTCCTTTGATGTTGTATTTAGAATTCCCTTAATTTTATCTGGGAATTTGTGAACAGTGGATCAGGTTTGACTGTCACTAAGGCACTGACTGGCTATTTAGGGAAAGGATTTCTAATCCTGTTCAGATCTCTTTGTCATGATCAGAAGTCAAGGAAACTTTCATATGTAGATTTCTTCTCCTGTCTCAAGTGGCTGCCTGAAATGCCTTGCAAATTGTTTTCATTCATTTACCATTTTGTTTTTCCCAGCTTGTTTTGGCCATTCTGTCCATCCTTCTGCAGCCAAGTTTTTGATCATTAGTGAGCTTTCCACATTGTGGTACCAGTTTGAAATTATTTTTTTAACATTGAAAAGCCAATAATGCTTAATAAATAAACCTTGAATAAAAAGAAGTATCAATGGAAGTGTGGGTGGGGTACTTATTTAACTGCCTGGGTAGCCACATAAACCAGAGCAGAGGGACTCTAGTTTAGTGCTAGTATCTCATTAAAAGAGTGAGGGTTCCGGTGAGATCTGTCAACTTGAGGACCTCAGTGATACCTGACAGAATAAATAATATTTGTCAGGGAATTGCGCAGCCAGTGTGCAAATGAAGTCAGATATGCTGACACAAATTTATAGTTTTATACAAATAAATATATCAATATATACAACAAACTAGATAGTCAGGCAAACAGGAACATCATGAGGTAAATCACAGAGCACACAAAAGAAAAAAGGGAAACTCTCCACATCCTCAGTAACCAATCACAGCACAGATTGCCTCATGCAGGAGCCAGCATTCTCCAGCCAATTAACCACAACTGTATGTTCCGACTCACTGCACAACCTCACTGCTCCAGATACTGAATTTAAATATCTTAACAATATTGGATTGCTTGGATGACATTAATCTATTTGCACACAATATGGTATCATATAGGATGACTTGTCTATGGGAGGAAAACGTTACTTATACATCCCTGCTTCTTAAATTGGTAGTTGCTACTCTCAGAACTACACACTAAGTACCCCAGGCCTGTTTAATGGGTTCTACACTGCATTTAAAGTAATGATCACTTTGTTTTACCAGAAGTATTACCCATGCATATACTTACACGTGCAGATAACTAGTAGATAGCTGTGACAAGTCTTGCGGAAGAAAGACACTCATATTAAGTGCCCCTTACTATCTAACATGTGTTGTTTTCCTCAGATAGAAGTGTTGCTGTTTATTGATTATGAAAGAAAGCAAAACAGGAAAATCAGGAGCTCCAGGCAGTTCAAATGTATATAAAGCTTTATCTTAAGCTTAAGGTCTTTGCAAGAAACTGAACTACTAATAGTCAAGAGAAATTAGCCAAAGTTAAGAATAAAAAGGAATTCAAGGTGGGCTGGGCTTAGATCTTTTGTGAGCACAAAGAGATTCATGACTGATGACTTCTTTGTCCCCTTCCTCAGGGTCGGCCTGGTCATCTCCTATAGCAGCAGACTTTTGTTAGCAATAGAAAAGCTAACTGAAATTTTAGATTAATTTCCTACTAATAATTATTTTCCATGTAAAAACTGGATTGATAATTCATTGTTATTGTATATTAGAACGACAATGACAGGGAATTAATACACCTATCAGTTATTCTCCCCCCCCCTTGTTATTAGATATTGATTTAAACCTTGTATTTGTAAGGTACACATATAATTACAAACACATTGCAAAAGTAAGCTTTATGTTCCTATATTTTGTAGGAGTTCCAGGTTTAACCATGGCTTCTTAATGGGTACATATATCATGAATAAAGAATTGTCGCTCTGTAATATACATGATGATCCTATTCCATAATCTATGAATATCTTAGATGATTTAAATGAGGGCGAAGGCATTAATGGCAATACCATCAATAATGTATTGTAGCCATAATGGATGTCTTCCTAGAACATTATTGATTGCACTAGAAGTCCAAATAGCCTTCAAATTGTTTTTGAACTTGCTTGTATTTCCACATGTTTTGAGTTGTACATTTCTTTTTTAGGAAATGTCTCCTAATAGTCCTCCTGCAGACAGTCCTGCTTCTCCTCTCAACAATCAGCCTGTGAATTTTTGCACAGATGAGGTACCCACAGCATCTCAAGGACTGTTGAAATTGTTTGGGACCAATTCAGAGGAATCCTCTGGAATAAAATGGGTATATTAATGTTTTTTTAATCCATTCAGAAAATGCAGTGCTTATAGTATAATTAAAACCCTTTTAATTATAACAACTCATAAGATTTAATTCTTAAGCACAATTATATACCATCAGACGAATTGATTATTCAAAAAATAATGGTGTGTGCTGAGATTGATAAATTAACCCTGTTGTTACAAGAAAAAGAAGACTCTGAATATTATAGAATTTGGGGAAAATAGTATGATTGGATTGAATTAAGACAAATGGATGATGAAAGAATTAATGATAAGCAACCTATAGATTGAAGGTTTGCATTCGCATAAATTGTATATATTTGTAAATAAGCACAAACTAGAAGTTTATGAGATAGATGTCACATACTGTTAATGTCATAATATGTATATTTTTTGGTTTGATTTTTAAAGATATAAAAGACTAATAAAGTTTATTAAAAATATTTAAAAGTAAAAAAAAGATTAAATTCTTACAGTATTAAGTGATTTACTTTTAGATGGGGAAATATTTCAAATATATTCATCTAAATGTGCGGAACATACATGAGTAAATGCAACTTCAACTTAATTTTCTAACCAAACATATGTATCTTGAAAATGTCCTCCTCCTTGTGTTTGTTGGCTTTGAGAAAATGGAATAATATGTTTTCCTGACTCCCGTTGGTTGGCATTTCTAAAGGGAGCTGGCTGGAAAGTGCTTACCACAAATCTGTCTTCTATGGAGGGCAACCCAGAGAGGGTGGTTCCTTCTCTAAGGGAAGTATTGCTTTGCCCTTTTCTCAAGAAGCCATTGCTGGATCCCACCATACCAGACAATTTTTGTCCAATGTCTAAACCCCCCTTTTTGAGGTAAGATTATAGAGAAGGTGGTCATACAGCAGCTTCAGTGGTCTGTAGATGAAGTGGATTATCTGAACTTTTTTCAGTTTGGCTTCAGATCTGGATATGACAGAAATGGCATTGGCTGTTCTTTTGGATGATCTGTGGCGGGTGCAGGATGAGGTTAATCTTGGCTATATTTGACCTCTTGTTAGCTTTCAATATTGTCAGGCATGGTATCTTCTGAATCAGCTCTGGGGATTGGGAATGGGTGACACAGTATTGTGCTAGTTTTCTTCCTTCCTCGGGGCCAATACCAGTCAGTACTGATCCAGAGTGAGAAACCCTGGTCTCGTCCTGTACTATGTGCGATACTACAAAGTTTGGTGCTCTCTCTGCTCCTGTCATCTACATGAAATGCTACGGGAGATCATCTAACACCAGGGACTGAAATATCATCAGTGCGCTGATATTCAGTTATATCTTTCCGCTCCTGGTGAACTAGGCAATGCTGTGGATGTCCTGTCCCAATGCTTGAAGACTGCGAGGTCTGAATGTGAGGGAGCAACAGGATTCAACTGAATCCTGGCACGGCTGAGTGACTTTCGGTTTTAGGGCCTTCCGGATCTAAGACTTTACCATCTTTGATACTAGATTGAATGGCACTGTCCCAGGTATACCTGAATTGCAAACGGAGAGTGGAGGTGTCAAGAAGCAGATAGTCATTTCTAGGAGGGTGTTTGCACAACCTTGGGTTCTGTACCAGTTACACTCTTTCCTGGATCATGAGTTACATCGTGCTCACAGTCACTCATGTCTTAGTCACTTCTTGTATGGACAGTTCCAATGCATTCCACATGGAGCTGCTCTAAAAGTATCTGGAAGCTTCAACCAATAAAATGCGGCACAGGCAGTTATGTGTGCCCTAAAGAAGTCACATTTTATATTTCTACATTGATTGCTAGATTGTTTTCAAATCCAAATCCTATTGCCAGTTTGGACTTTTAAAACCCTACATGAAATGCGGCCAGGTTATTTGAGGAATTGTCTCTTTGTGATCTACCTGTCATATTAGATCTGGCAGGAGAGGCCTGCTGTGGGTCCCATCTGTGAAAGAATAACATGCAATGGGACCTAGAAGACAAGCCTTTTCTGCCATTGGAACACCATTTCTTGTGAGGTGAGGTTAGCCCTAACCTTGTTGCCTTCTGGAAACCCCTTAAAACAGGGGTGTCAAACTCACGTCGTCATGGCTGTGTTACGTGACGTATCAGAACTTTCCACCCCTTCACTAAACTGGGCATGGGAGGGACCAGCATGTGACGCATCCAGCCCGTGGGCTGGGAGTTTGACAGCCCTGTCTTAAAACAAGTGTTGTTTTCAATAAGCCTGTTGATTTCTTGGTGTTAGGGAGCTTGCGTGATGGTGATATTCTTCTGCTCGTGGTTTTGTTTTTAATCTGTCTGTACTGTTTTAATTGGTTTTGCAGAAAGTTTTAATAGTGGGTTTTATTGTATGTCACTTTGTGTGAGAGGGCGGCCATACAAATTTTGACAGATAAATTGAATAATGAAGATATCAGTAAGCATTTGAACCCTAAATAAAGTTTGTATAAGACCAAATCTATTAACATGAACTGTTCATATAAAAATATATTTAAGGAATTTTTGTTTAAAACTAGTCCATCAAATAGTGCAAAAGCTGCCAGGAACAGCTGATTCTTGGTGTCTGTTTTCCTTTGAAAACTATGTTTATTTTTAATCTAGGATATGATGAATTGTCTTGTGTTACAGATGAATTAAATGTAGTTAATTTTGCTACTTTGTATGAAATAATTTATTAGATTTATAAGCTGCTTCTTTTTTGTACAGCTAAAGATAGCAGCTACTTTCTCATATTTTCCCCAAGCCTGTGAGGTAGATTGGGCTGAGAGAGAGGGACTGCCCAAGGTCACTCAGCTGGCTTCTTTCTATAGCTAAGGGAAGATTAGAAGTCATACTCTCCTAGTTTCTATTCCAGCACCTTCCCCAAACTAGCTGTTAGTAATGTGTTCATTAAGACATGCTTGCAACCATATTTTAAACATCTAAGAAATCTTAAATTTTAAATATCTTAACTTCTGAGATGGTATAAAGTGCTAATCTATGTTCTGACACAGTTATAGATTGAGAACAAATTCATTTTACAGTATGCCAAGCTATGGTAGATAATACAGTTCAAGAGCCATGCTAGTATTTTGCACTCGAATTCCTTTTTAATCAGATCAGAGGAAAACTTTTTTATATCATATTTCATGTATTTCTGTTGCAGTATTTTTGTAAGTTACGATTAGAGATCAATGTTTATAAATTACTGATAGAATGAAAATGCTACACTGGAGGGGAAGAAGAAAAATACTTGGTGCTACAGAAATTTCCAGTGGCTTGCGGTATCTGCAGCAGATCACAATGATGTCAGAATGTGCTATCATTATGTATTTGCACCATTATAAAATTCTGACGTCATTGCGCTTATGTATTTGTGATGCTAGTATGTAAGTCACAGCATTTCATAATGATAATCACACCCAAATTATCATACCTCTCCCCAACATCCATAACAGGGGTGTGTGTTCCCCTCTATCCTTTCCTCTCCAGGCAAAGGAGACAATGAAAGAAGAATCTTGGAACATTCATTTTTTTGAATATGGGAGGGGCATGTGTATGTACCGGACAGCCAAGACTCGTGAGCTGGTGCAAAAAGGAATTCCAGAGAGTCTTCGTGGAGAACTATGGCTCCTGTTTTCAGGTGACATCTTTGCTAAATGTGCACAATAGATTCCTGACATAAGGAGAAAATATTTTCCCCTGCTACACAGTTGCATAGTACTACAGCCATTAAAATGAAATTGCTCCCCAAACTGCAGGGGATCTGAAAAGTCAGCAATTATTGTTCCCAGAGTTAGCATTTCTTAGTTCTAAGCCAGTTGCCAGTTGCCAGTTGAGGCTTTTTTTCCTCAAAGTATTTTTTTTAAGTTTGCTAAAAGGCAATGCAAAATAAGTACTAGTCTTTAAAATAACCTTTCTAAATATATCATTTTTATTAACATCATGCATTTAGTTCTCAGTGTAAACCAGCTGCAAAAGGCTTGATAACCTGCAGTAAATATTTCATTTGCAGAAGCCTCAGCCTGAATCACATCTTGAGTGCAGTTGGCAAGAAAAATAATGTTTGTGTGTCAATACAGGGGCCTGGAATGAGATGGCCACTCACCCTGGGTATTACAGTGATTTGGTGAAACGATCTATGGGAAAGTATAGCCTTGCCACTGAAGAAATTGAAAGAGACCTGCATCGTTCAATGCCAGAGCACCCTGCCTTTCAGAATGAACTAGGAATTGCTGCACTTAGAAGGGTACTAACAGCATATGCTTTTCGGAATCCTACAATTGGATACTGCCAGGTAAGAAAGCAATATATTTGGATTACCTAGTAGATTGATGTCACTCCTTCTCACAGCTTGGCCATAGTTTGAATTGGAGCTCAGCCTCTCCCTTCTTTCATGGCTAGGAATATATTGCCTTCTGAGACCACTTATTTGGGCATGGTTGAGCAAGCTGGGCTGTGTGATTCCCCAGTCTGTGTTTTGTAGACTCCTTCCATCTTCATATGCTTCTTGAGAAAAAGATATCGTACCCTGAAAACGTTCTGGAGAAAAACAAAAAGGAGGAGAAAGTATAAGTGAGATTATATAAGGGCATATAAGAACATCTCTCTTCCTCTTTCATTTCCCCAGTGAACTTTCGGGAGGATGTTTTATTATCTCTTGTTTTATTATTATAAAATTTTACATAATATTTGGGTGCAATGATGTTTATACAATCTTGACTAGAAATTATTAACAGATTAATGTTAAATAACTTACATTTTTAAGATTAAAAAAGCTTGCATTAGTAATGATTAATTTCTGAACTGTTAAGGTTGATATAAGATTCCTTAGATTTTACATCTAAAGCTGGTGTAGCATTAATAAACTGCAAAATATATTACAATATTTATTATATAACAAAGGTTTCTATCTTGTGCTTAATATTTAACACTAAGGTTTCCAGGGGTTACCTACTTTCTCAAAGTAATTGTATAGAGCCAAGGATATGATTCTGAGGTGTACAATGCCCTCTTCATTTATAATTTATATCTGAGGCTCTGACAAATTGGAAAGCAAATAAATACTTGCCTTTTTAAATATGCTCCCTATCCAATATTAATGGTTTTGTATGTGCATGTTTGTCGTTATATTTGTCAGGCCATGAACATAGTGACATCAGTACTGCTTCTGTATTGTAATGAAGAAGAAGCTTTCTGGCTCCTTGTAGCCCTGTGTGAGAGAATGTTGCCAGATTACTATAACACTAGAGTGGTTGGTAAGTCACTTTGAAAGTTGAGATTAATTGGCATAAAATAATCTGAAGCAATCAGAGTGGGATCTTTCGTTGCAAAATAATTGATAGTTGCCTTTAGGACAAGTGGATGAATGTTCAGAAGATTAGCTTCACTGATTTTGTATAATTAAAATAGTGTTAGAATTGCACAGTTCAAATTAATTATAAGAGCTGTCTTTTTATTTTCAAGTCTGAGTAAAACAATAATAATTAAACCTTATTCAAACTTCTTAAAAATGTTCCAGTGTTGAAATTCTTGAATTTTCATAGCCAGTTTATTAAATTTCTTTTGTGATTCTCTCAAAATGTAATGAGTTTCTATAGGTTTATATTAACTCCATTTAGTAATACTGTTCTTAACTAAAATAATAGATAAATATCTTCTTGAAATCCAATCAGATATCCCAAAGCTATTAATATATTTCTACATCCTTCTTAGCTCTATATATCATTTTCTCCTGAACTGTTCTCATCCTTATATTCTTTTGAGCTTTACCATGTTATTTTTTGCAGTATATAAGACTTCCTGATAAGATTTTAATCAGTATCAAAAGTTGATTTTAATCAAAAGTTTAAAAAGTATTGTTTCTTCCCAAGTCTGAAAAAGATACCATCTTTTCAAAATAATTAAGGAACTAGAATGATTATAACTTGGGGTCAGGCAATCTTAAGAGTCTACCAAGAAGTTGTAGAGAATGTCAATAAAATCAGAAGCATATAGTATGAGAAGTAACATTATCAGTGTTCAGCAGCAAGAGGTATAGTGATACTTCAGAAATGAAACCTAAATATGGAATCCTAATAATTTTATGAAAAAGAAGTTACATTATTGCAGACAAATCCAATACAGAATCTTCAAATTCAGGTTTTATCTTGCTGTCAAAATGCATGGCAGTAAAGAAGCTTGAAAAACATTCTAAATCAGAAATGGCGTATCCTTCTCAAAAGCAGATTAATATTTATCACTCTGTGATTTTATTGCAGGAGATAGTTTTCACTTAGTGAAGAAACTGCCGCAATTCAAACTTTGCAGTAGGATTTTGTAACTGATGTTAATCACTTCCTTGAAGATAAGTAATATATAGTGAAGCTAGTTTGCACATCAAATATTATGTATATGTGAGCTCATTACAAAGAATCCCAGATTTTATTTATTTGGTTTGGACAAATCAGCATTTATAATAGAACCTTGTTTCACACTCTTGCTCTCATAAGACCGCAGATAACACTTCTGTCTCTGTTGCCTATTCAGGTGCACTAGTAGACCAAGGCATCTTTGAAGAACTAACAAGAGATTGCCTTCCCCAGCTGTCCGAGAAGATGCAAGATTTAGGAGTCATTTCCAGCATATCACTATCTTGGTTCCTCACACTTTTCCTTAGCGTCATGCCTTTTGAAAGCGCAGTGGTCGTTGTTGACTGTTTCTTCTATGAAGGCATAAAGGTCATCTTGCAGGTATCCCTGGCCATCCTGGATGCCAACATGGACAAGCTGTTAAATTGCTGTGACGAAGGTGAAGCCATGACTGTCTTGGGCAGGTAGCTTTGTTTTTAGTTTCAGAATTAAGCTGGGAGTGGGTGGGATACTTTCCTTTTTTAGAAATACCACTGCATTATGCAAAATGCCTGCCAGGCAGATATTTTAATGTCATTACATATGTAAATAAGAAGCCCACATGATACATAAATAATGTGTTGTCTAAATATCTCCTATTGCTCAAACCAAAATACCCAGTAGAAAAAAAATCATCAACTGGGGAAGTGCCATGTCTGCAACAGGAGCTAGACTGATTTCAGGCTTTGCTACATCATCACTGCAGTTACCACCAAGGTGTCACAAACCATGCACAATTCTGTTTGTGTCAGGAGAAAATGATAACAATACTTTATGGCTAGAGCAGATAAATATAACATTAGGTAGCCTCAGCTACAGGCTGAGAATGAGAGGAGGGCCACATCAAAAATATGTCCTGAAAAAGGTAGTTTACAAGGTAATTTTGAGTCACAGTTATGAGGATATATAGGCTTATATGTGAATATTATATTTTTCCTTTGTCAAAGACTGAAATGCTTCAGTATAAACAGTACATTATTTACACAATAATATAGCATGTTATTAATACATAATTTAATTATAATATATGGATGAATCAAGTATCTTGCATCCTAAATGTCATCTTAATTATTTTAGTTTTAAAATCAATTCAGCTTTTCATGAAAGATGACTCAGACATATATTTTATTAAAGAAATTATATAGACCTTCCTGACCATAGCCCTCAGATAATGCACTAATCCAAAATTCTGTATTGATTTTTTTTTATTTTTTTGTAGGTACCTGGATAATGTGGTTAATCGACAGAGTATTTTCCCACCTATTCCTCACCTCCATGCTTTATTGACGAGTGGGGATGATCCACCAGTGGAAATTGATATTTTTGAACTTATAAGAATAGCCTATGAGGTCAAAAGATAACCTACATCTTATACTTTTACAATGATATTTTTAAATGAATTATATACTGACCTTGTAATCACTATTAATCAGAGATGTGTCTTTAATATAAGCATTCACAAATTCAAGGGTGTCAACTGTCTGTTTTATGAAGAATGCAATAGATAAATCATTTAGTTGTATTTATTCCTTAATCTATTTTTCTTTAAATTAGTTTTGGGTTTTGGCTCCCTAAAATCAATCTTATATTTTCAGGTGGTTCTTACTGCTGCTACCATTGGCTAACATATATTTTCCCTCTTCACTTTCTGTTATAACTTCCAAATCTGACTTCCAGATGAGCATTAGGAGGTAGCAAAGAGATACTGAAAGCTCTGCCTCTTTGTTACCATCTAGTGATTTGGTTTATTTATGCAGTATAAATCCATCAGCTCAATTTTCCCCATGGCTTCCAAACATGGCTACAGAGCTATGATTGGCCACCATCACTTCTGCAAGCATTGCTTTGTCATTAGTCAAATAATTGCTAATAGAGGAATTCCAGGAAATGAGTGTAGACCTTCCCCCCCTCCCCCCTCCCCCCCAAAACGTATTTTTGGTGGGTTTTGTTATAAACCCCAGTTTTCATTTCCACTGCAGAAATTCAGCCATTTGAAAGCAGATGACATTGAACAGATGCGTTTTAAACAAAGATTGAAGGTAATCCATTCTTTAGAAGACACTGCTAAGAGAAGTGTGGTAAGTCATATCCATATTTTTATAAGCTTATATTTTTAACTAATTTTGTTTCTCCTGTTTGGAATCTTTGAGGCTAGGTTAAGCTAAATAATATCAAGAAGTAAATTAGATAAATAACTACTAGTCATGTTATTCTTTCTTTTCTACAGTGAGGTCTGTAGTATAGTAGTATAATGGTATGTCACTAATTTGTATATTGATTAGAAGTATTATGAGTCCTAAGACTGGTATTGAGCTGAAGATTTCACGGCGACAACATTTGGCATTATTCTACAATTAATTGTTCTGAAAGCTTTATTCGAGTGGCATTTTAGTTGATTCTGATACAGGTACAGACAATGCCCTACTTACTAATAGGTTACATTCAGAGAGGCTATTAAGTCCGTTTTGTTCTCAAATCCAATAAGGGTAAAAACATGCTAGTGCAGTTCTTGCCTTAGATAAGGGACAGCATAAGAGATATGGAAACTGACAGCTTCTATAACTCCAACCTAAAATATTCTGGAAATCAGGAGAAGGATTAGTTTCCAGCACACTGCACATGCATTCCCATGTGCCACATTAGTATTCAGCATGCGGAATATGTATTCCAATGTGCTATAAACTCACTCTTTCCTGCCTTCTCCTGTCTTATGAGTGCAGACAGATTTATTTGTATCAACGAAAGTTCACAATTCAGTAATTCGTTAGTAGGGTAATTTCTGTATCAACCAACTGAGAGTCGAAAATTTCCTCATAAGCAACATTGTTATTTCTTTTTTAATTTTTATCCCATAGCCAGCTGAAAACATTTCAGTCTTCTTTAAGAAAATACCTTGGCAGATTTACCATAGATGCCTACTAGCTAATTTTCTGTCTTATTTTCTCCTACTGAAAATGTAAGAGGAAATAGTGACCTTTCAATTCTCCAAATTGCTCTATCTGGGAATCTCAAGAGAAGAATGGCTTTCACATTTTCTTGCTGCTGTTTGTGTCTGTTTTTTTTGTGGTATCCCTTCCTCCAGATAGCATCAGATGTCAAGCAATTGTCTCTAATGACCTTGTAGAAATTTGACAATTGAACATGTTGAGAAAAAAGCTGAGCAGAAGAAAAAATCGACCCATTTCCTGTTCCTGCTGCAAATTATAGTGCACTGAGTGCAGGAAATATAATACTTTTGACCATCTTTTTGTGCTTATTGACTCAGTTCAAGAGAATAGAATTGTTCTTTTTATTTGTTATTCAGTTTTTAGAATCTTCTGATCTGACAGATCAGTACCTCACGAATACAGACAACATTATGTTCAAATCATTAGATGCTTCTTCCTTTTCAACAGTTACTTTGCCATGATTTTAAAAGGATGGATTCCTCCTTTTACTAAACCTATCCTTTCCAGATTCCCAGCTGACAGAACTAAGGTATATTTGCTTCTATGATTTCTGCAGGTCCGAGCTGTATCTGGAGACATTGGCTTTTCTATGCAAGAATTAGAAGATCTTTATGTAGTATTTAAGGTGGGAGACCTTGACAAAACATTAGTCTCTTTATTATTGCTGCCAGTAGAGATAAAGCATGCATATGAAAACTCCTTTAAATTACAGAGATGCCAGGATCCAAGCTGGTGCTGTATTAAAAAGACTTTTACCCAAATTATCTGATTTGGGTTTATTTTTGCGGTTGAGAAAACAGAGGGAAATCTAACAAAATTTAAAGAGAACTTATTTTGTTAGGCTGATTCAGCATTTTGTTTCATTGCATCACATCTTGCTAATCAAATACATAAGATTTATTTAGTTTTTCTTTGGCAAAAAAACAACAATATTTCAGCCAATCAAAGATGTAAGTTCTGAGTAGCTAGGAACAAAATACCATGGCTTGGATTCTGTCTGGGTTTTGTTTAGAATTAGCAATGTTCCATAATAGTCTTTCCTACCCAACAAACATGAATTCCTAATTTTCCAAACACAGAGATTGAAGACTATTGTGCTTTCACCAAGGCCGTTCAGATTATCACAGTTAAACAAAGAAAAACTGTAGAGTGTTCATTACAGTGTTAGAACCAACTTTTCAGGTAACTGCCGTTTCAAATTCTTTAGAACTGCCAGAAAACCCTATTTTATTTTCAGATGAGGATTATTGAACGTTTTCTGCTTCGTTCTGTTTGCAAATTGATTGGATTCTTTATAATTACCATTTTCATTGTCTTGCATATTTCAGAACTGATTAAAAGCCATGCCTAATCCTTTTAAGTTATGTTTTCAAGGCTGATAGATTTTTTTAAAAAGCATCACTCATTCACTCTCAGCCCAACCTCTCACACAGCTTTGTTTTCGGGAAATAGGAAGATGAAGCGTCTATATGTTACTTTGAATTGTACAAAATAAAGGCAGAATGCAGATCTAATAAATCATTAATTTTGTTTATAGGCAAAATACTTAATGAGCTGTTACTGGGGAAATCGTACTTCAGCTGCTCAACGAGACCAGAGTCTGCCCTACTTAGAGCAGTACCGCATCAACCTTGAGCAGTTCAAAGACTTGTTTGCTTCCCTTACACCTTGGTCTTGTGGACTCCACATGACAGTACTTGCAGAAAGAATGTTCCGACTTCTGGATAAAAACAAAGATTCCCTTATTAACTTTAAAGAGTTTGCAACAGGCATGAGTAAGTAGCTTTTCTGGCATAGTATCTAATCTGATATGTTAAATCATTGGTGAAAAGTAACACAACACTCGAATGGTACAGCTATTTGGATTTCAACTGAAAAAGGTCTTTGAGCTAGCTTTGAAGCTGAGACTCTCTTTATCAGTGGCTGCAGTCCTTTATAGAATACAGAGAGATACAGAAAACTCTCATTCTTTATTGCCATCCAGTGGTCATCTAGTTCAGATACAGTAGCCCCAAACAACCCCAAACAAAACTGCAAAATTCAATGACAATTTCTGAAGAAAGTTGAAAACACATTATCATTATTAGAGTGACTCATCTTCCCCACAGGGTGGATAAAAATAATAGTCTTTCTGACCATTTCATCTTCTATTCAGAAATCCAACCAAAACTATTTACAGCTTTAAGTTGTTTGTATAATATCTGTATTTGATTGACAGAAGCATGCAATAGTAGCAAATATCTGTAGCTCAGGAGTAGGATGAGGGTTAGGATCTGACTCAAGTTCAAATTATTCCATTATTCAATATAAACTCAATGTCTTTGAACAAACTTGTATCTCTCAACCAAATTTCTTTTATGTTTATAGTTAGAATACTTATTATTGATTGACAGTTATTGCTATCTATAAGTAAATCTATTAAACGTTTTTTCAATCAGCAAAAGTCCATAATGAGTTATCAGAACTTTGCAAAAACTGATTTATTTTACCATTGATCAAATAAAATAACTTTATATTCCTTTCTTTTGCTTCTAACAGTCTTAATATTTAATCAATCAATATTGTCATAGATTTTGATTTTTTTTATTTTTCTTGATCCCATCACACAGATTTCTTAACAAGCCTCTTTCGTAAATCCAATAAGAAAACATTTTCCAGACCATTCTCTTGGTTTATCATTTGTATTTCCCTTTAAATTTTCGCCCAGTAAAGTGTCATTTTCAAAATCATTTTTTTTGCTTGTGATTTGCAGTTCCACTTTGCATAGCTTTTCTATCTTGTCAGATAAAATTTGTTCCACATCTGTCATTCCTTCATTATCACATTTTGGACATAGTTTATCCATAGAAGCAGACATCATTATTGTAATGATATTGTAATGACTAATTTCTGGCTCCATTCTTCAACAACCTCCTTTAATATTTCTGATACTATAATGTTTTGTGTCATTTTGTGACTTTCAGTGTCACAAAATGACACAAAACGTTTTGATTTCAGTAATGAAATCAATAACAGGGTCTTTTTTTTCCTTCTGCTTGGAATTTTTAGTCCCCTGTAGTCTTCTTTCTAAAACCATGAAGTAACTTATCTTTGTTATGGCTTACAATAGCCAAGGTGGCCAAAATCAGTCTCTTTCCCATGAGAAACTATTTATTTGTTATAGTTAATTCCAAAATCTTATATGTATGTGGGGAAGGGAGGGGAAATCATTTAGCAGGTGGTAGCAGCTTGCAACCTTTCCTATCAACTTCCCCGCTGACTTTCTGAAGAACTAGCAGAGAAGATTGGTAACTTCAAACAATTGTTAAATGAGTGGCTGAAAGTTGTAAAGCTATATACAGCTTGAGTCCAGGTTATGGAAGCATCTTCTCCAAGTAGAGTTTGCCTGTACCAGTGAGAGAATGAATGGTTTGGGTATCAATCTAAAAGAACCTAGGCAGGTTGGAATCCATAGAATGCCATTCCTACTATTGGCCTTTCTCTCTCTGGAGTAGCATGTCCACTGAGATCAGATGGACCTCTGCTATTTTGTTCTCTAGGAAACATGGCAAAGATAGTTCTTGGGTATCCAATGGTTTTTATTAATACTGCTTACAATGTTTTTTACTGTGAGGTTTTTAAATGGTGATTTTATAGATGTTTCAATTTCATAAACCAGAGGGGTCAAACTGGTGGCCCGAGGGCCAGAGGTGTCATGCACAGGCCACACCCATCCCAGCTCCGCAAAAGGGAAAACATTCCAAAACATCATGTGACGGTAAAATGACACGAGTTTAACCCCGTGTCATAGACTATAAGCCATCTAGAATTGCTAGAAGAGGTGGCATATAAATATATCGATGTAAATAAATAAATGAAAATCAATCATATTGAGAGAGAAAGCATAAGAACAAGTTTTAACCTCAAAAATATTCATATATAAATAAATATACATAAATAATCATAATATAAAGAACTTTACCAGCTAAATTTCCACACCATATTTGTTAGGCATAAGAATCCATTAGAAAAAAAGGCTGTCTATGAACTACTAAATCTAGGTATTTTTCTGATCCCAACAGGTGGAATGTATCATGGTGATCTGACAGAGAAGTTGAAACTCCTTTACAAACTACATTTGCCTCCAGGTGATCCACTTCTTTTACTTCTTTTCTGTTGGTGGGAGTTAAGGGCTTTACAAATTTCTTAAGGCTGTTCTATTAAATTTACTAGACTGATCGTACCTATAAGTGATTACCATATTCCACCCATAAGAACATGGATAATAATACCAATTTTAGTATAGGTATGTAGAGATTTAGTGTATGTACCGTAGGTAGAGAGGCTTTAATTTCTCCATCCAATTCAAATTAATGAAGAAAAAGCCCATAGGCAGAAATGGCAGTGTTTTCTTTATATGCTTTGTTAAGAGATGGCCTAGGTGAGTTCAACCATTAGTTCTTCACACAATATTCTTAGTTAGGATTGGCCCATTACCATAAAAGAAGACAACAGAATTATTCTATGTACAGAATTTAATGAATGACATGTAGCCTCAAGACAGCTTTTAATTATATATAATTTGTCTTGTAAATCGTAATTGACTTAATTCGTATGAATTAATTGGTGATGTGGTTATTAGTGAACATAATCATTAATATATTCATAAGGCATAGGACTTTCTAGTTTTAATTTTCTGTGGGCTTTTTCATCCCTGCCTAATTTTAATAGCTTTGCAGAATAATTTGTACATTTTGGTTCAATGCTTTGGCTGTTGGGTTTGTTTCCATTTATGTCGTATCTTTTTCTACAGAAAGAAAAATTGGAGGGAGGTCAAACCAATTCCTAGTGAAATGTAGACAGTGCCTCTCTTTTGGGTGTGTAGACCTATTAAAATTGTGGAAGTATTCCGAGGACCGTAGTGTAGTGCTAGTGTTGAAGCCTAATCACCGTGTGAAATCCAATTGTAACACAGGCAGTTGACACAAGCACTTTCTAACATGCTCTTCTCTTCACAGACTCCATTTAGCTCCTGAGTATATATCTGAGTTGAGGGAAGAAAAGTAGACAGAGAGATTATCAAAATTTAAATAGAAGAAATTTTGCTTTAAATATAGCTGAAGTATTAGTAGTCCTTTCTTACAAACTGCTTCAAAGGTGTTTTTCCAAAGGGCAACTGGGCTTAGTTTTTCCTTGAAGACTTTTTGCTTCTCATCCAAGAAGCTTCTTCAGTTCTGACTGTGTAATAGCTAAACTAACCTATTTTCTATTAAAAAAAAAAATCATGATTAATGCTTAGCTTTGACATAGTATTGTCTTGTTTTTCCTGTAGAATTATTTTGTTGGAGGAAGGACCCTGTTAATTCTCCTTGTCCTTCCTCCAGTTTTTTGGCCAATATAGTCATCAAGAAGGACTCTGTATTAGGTGTGGATGTTTCCCACTGATCTCACTTAAACTTGGATGACTGTTTTCAGAGGGCGTATTAGTGGATCTGTGTTTCACCTGGTGACATTTGTGCCATGATTTCATATAACCCTGCCATTCCATACTAATTAACACAAAGCTACTGAGATTCATCAGAGTTCTTTTCTTTGTCAAATTCAAGGGAAGCAGTGTACTTTGACTGGCAGGTGGATTCATCTTTGTCATTACAAATCTCAGATATTCTCTGTAATATCCTATTTTACCTTGTTAGGCTGTTACACCAGTTACGATTCTTTGGGATAGCCTGGCTTCTCTGACTGGTGCACTGGTGATAGATATCTTATTTACACTGCTCAAAAAAATAAAGGGAACACTTAAACAACACAATGTAACTCCGAGTCAATCACACTTCTGTGAAATCAAACTGTCCACTTAGGTAGCAACACTGATTGACAATCAATTTCACATGCTGTTGTGCAAATGGAATAGACAACAGGTGGAAAGCATAGGCAGTTAGCAAGACATCCCCAATAAAGGAGTGGTTCTGCAGGTGGTGACCACAGACCACTTCTCAGTTCCTATGCTTTCTGGCTGATCGTTTGGTCACTTTTGAATGCTGGTGGTGCTTTCACTCTAGTGGTAGCATGAGACAGAAACTACAACCCACACAAGTGGTTCAGGTAGTACAGCTCATCCAGGGTGGCACATCAATGCGAGCTGTGGCAAGAAGGTTTGTTGTGTCTGTCAGCGTAGTGTCCACAGCATGGAGGCGCTACCAGGAGACAGGGCAGTATATCAGGAGACGTGGAGGAAGCCATAGGAGGGCAACAACCCAGCATCAGGACCGCTACCTCCGCCTTTGTGCAAGGAGGGACAGGAGGAGCACTGCCAGAGCCCTGCAAAATGACTTCCAGCGGGCCACAAATGTGCATGTGGCTGCTCAAACGGTCAGAAACAGACTCCATGAGGGTTGTATGAGGGCCCGACGTCCACAGGTGGGGGTTGTGCTTACAGCCCAACACCATGCAGGATGTTTGGCATTTGCCAGAGAACACCAAGATTGGCAAATTCGCCACTGGCGTCCTGTGCTCTTCACAGATGAAAGTAGGTTCACGCTGAGCACATGTGACAGACGTGACAGGGTCTGTCTGCAACATCCTCCAGCATGACCGGTTTGGCAGTGGGTCAGTAATGGGGTGGGGTGGCATTTCTTTAGGGGGCCGTACAGCCCTCCATTTGCTCGCCAGAGGTAGCCTGACTGCCATTAGGTACTGAGATGAGATCCTCAGACCCCTTGTGAGACCATATGCTGGTGCAGTTGGCCCTGGGCTCTTCCTAATGCAAGACAATGCTAGACCTCATGTGGCTGGAGTGTGTCAGCAGTTCCTGCAAGACAAAGGCATTGATGCTATGGACTGGCCCATCCGTTCCCCAGATCTGAATCCAATTGAGCACATCTAGGACTCGCTTCATCCACCAACGGCACGTTGCACCACAGACTGTCCAGGAGTTTGGGGATGTTTTAGTCCAGGTGTGGGAGGAGATCCCTCAGGAGACCATCCGCCGCCTCATCAGGAGCATGCCCAGGCAATGTAGGGAGGTCATACAGGCACGTGGAGGCCACACACACTATTGAGCCTCATTTTGACTTGTTTTAAGGACATTACATCAAAGTTGGATCAGCTTGTAGTGTTTTTTTCCACTTTAATTTTGAGTGTAACTCCAAATCCAGACCTCCCTGGGTTGCTAAATTTGATTTCCATTGATAATTTTTGTTGTGATTTTGTTGTCAGCACATTCAACTATGTAATGAACAAAGTATTTAATGAGAATATTTCATTCATTCAGATCTAGGATGTCTTATTTTTGTGTTCCCTTTATTTTTTTGAGCAGTGTATATTAGGTATATTAAAGTATTATAGGCTTGACTTCTCCTGAAGATAGTCTGGTTAATTGAAAGTAAGGTGGCTGGGGTTCTGCTTGGAATTGAGAGTTAAAAAGAAGAATATGCAAGACTCATTTGTGTTCGTTCTTATAATGAGGAAGAGATAAGGCACTTACATTTCCCCGGCTACAATTGCTCTACTAATAGCAGTTGTAACATAGGTGAGAAACACACTCTATTAAAATAAGTGGAGAAGTAACCCCACCTACTCATACCAACTGAGTAGAATATTGGGGGGACAGTTTTTTAAGGATACTGGGTACTTCTTGGTGGCTTTGCATCACCTTCAGCATGCTGGGATTTAGCATCAGCAGATGCCACAATAGATTTATACATGAAAAACTTTCCACAACTCTTAATAGGAACTCCCAAGACAAATTCATCCCCTGTGGGAAATAAAGTGAGAGGCAGAGATTTCACTTATAACAATCAATATCTGTTCAACTTAAGGCTGTAAGCAAAAGTTAATTGAAATATGGAAAGACCAGAAGCTGCAATGGATGCAAGAGGACAGCTGCATCTTCATACTACAGAGAGCAATCAACTGTTCAGTGTAATTGTATTCCAGTTTGTAATAAACATTCTAATTGAGTTATGCTGTGTTGTGTCTCTGAAATATTTCAGCCAATCTGAGCATTGTTGCCAAGTTAAGACTTGTAAAGTCTAACATCAATTCTACATTACCCTAAAATTACATTTCCTGGAGAACTGTTCAATCTTAGTTAGGGTTGCTTTGTTTTTAATTTGTGTAGTTAGACATTACCTTAAATAAAAAATAAAACAGCAGCTTTCCCATTCTGAAAAGGCGACTTTTGTTCCTACAGATTTCCTCTTTTTCCTACTACTCACTTGTCTCTCCAGTGCTGTTTCAGAACTCCCAAATCGCCCGGAACAAATTTGAAGGGTGGACAGAAAAGTTGTGGAAGAAAAGGGGAATCAGTTAAAAAACCCTCCCTGCTTTTTTGTTTATGAAAGTTTCTGTTGGGTCACAGAGCCTTTTCTGAGTGGAAAGAGTCCATTGGACATAGGCGGTCAACTGAAGTCCAATACTGTAATCAGAGATAGGTATATAGAGCTATCTTAAGTAATTCTTAAGGAAACAAGAGTATCCGGTAACATTTTTTTTCTCTTTGTATAGCTTTCAATTCAGAGGAGGCAGAGTCTGCTCAGGAAGCTACAAACTACTTCACAGATAATAATGCTACAGAAGGTAAAAATGAGATATTTTATCTGTTAGGGAACATTGAAGCCAAGCAGAATTTTCTTATTTCCTCTTCCATCAGAATATTATCCCACAACTGTTCTAGCTTCTATCATAAATTATGGTGGATGGTGGTTATTTGTATATGAAACATAGGTCAGATTAATTATCCCCTTTTACAGCCCAAGGCACTTGCTCAAATCTTTTGTAACTTGTTCCTTTCTTGGTTTCTCTCTGTTATTCTATATTTTGACTCACGCTCATTCTTCCTGAATTTCGCCCTGTCTTCAAAGCCTTTCTTCTTTATTTCTCTCTTCCCTTTGCTTTCTAGTATCTCCTTTTGTCTCAGAACTGGATCTCTTCCTACGTTGTGATTTGCAAGGTTAGTCTGAACAACTAAGATGGGCTGCCGTTGATGTGATAAAGTGACCTGCCTAATATAAGATGAAATTGCTTTAGAATGTCTTCAAGCCACAGATATTACAGCTAAACAATTAGCCGTAGTATTTCATTCATTTCCTTTGTCATCTTACTCCCGTTTCTAACACACTGCCCAAAGAAAAATGTTTTCAGTATAAAATGGCATATACGTGTGTTCATTCACAAAGACAGTCCTGCATCTCTTCTTTGATGTATGTCCCAACAACGGAGATTCTATCTCATTTGAAGTCCACTGCTGAGGCACGTGAATCCAAGGTAGTTGACCAGTAAAGTGCCCTTTCCCAGCTATCATGATAGAAGACTCCCTTCCAGACATTCGTTCCCAGTGCATGGAAGAGATGTTTTGAGTTCAACAATCTGCTGAGCTCCAGTTGGCCTGGTAGATCTACTGTGTGACCATACCCTTCCCTCCATCCACTGGGCTGTCCACCTCTGTGGCCATTTGTGTTGCAGCTGTCAGAAAGACCTGTTATTGGCAGAGGGGGTTCTTGGGTTTAGAGTTGGAATATTGATCTTACCCAAGACCAAATGCAGGCTACAAGGTAATTGAAATTCCCATTAGCAAGCAAAAATACCCCACACTACCAAGAAGCAGAAATAAGTGAAGTGTGTAAAGAAAATCAACTTAATGTCTAATGCCCAACTCATTGCAATCTTCTCTGGGACATCATGAATCAACTGCAACATCACTTGAAAGAAAAGCTAAAAATGTCATTTGAAAATACAGAAATCTCTATCTGACCATCTGACGTGAGCCCTCTTTTTTTGCTTGATCACAGAATGTCAGTGATGATTCTAACCCTGTTTCCATTGGAGGCTCTTTAAACACACACACACACACACACACACACACACACACCGATGAAAATCACTCCATAATTTGTTCCACACATTTGGATTTACTTTAGAAAACGCCCAAGTGCTTGTTAATCTCAGACTTGGGACTCCATTTGTTGTCATGAAGGAATTGCAGGGCACGAGTCCCTTTTCCCCTCACAAAGCTCCAGAGTCTGTTGTGGAGGAGACTTCAGATTCTTTGATACTGACCTGGAGCAAGGCACCAAAGGGGACCTTCTCCTGCCCCCTGCATGGAGGACCTTTTATTTCCTTTTATTAGGAGCAGTGTTTCCATATGCTTCCAGGTGAAAGCATTGAGATTTTTTTTTTCTCTAGAAGGAAATGCTTTTATTTGAAACTAGGTTTTGAGATTTAATCCATTTTTTTCCTGTTGATCATTGAACACTGATGTTGCAGTCTTTTCTTTTTGCTTTTTTTGCTTTTTCTTGCCATGTCAGATATGTGGCTGATGTAGTTTCTCCTTCCAGAAGACCTTGGTAATATTGTATTAATATAAACACTGCTTATATTTTATGGATCATCTGGTACAACCTTTCATTTTCAAAAAGAAAAAGTCAGGCTTTCTGGGATAACTATACCATATATCATGTTTTGTGCTTTGTGTTCAGTCAGATAATCAAATGTCTTATAGCTCTAAAGGCTGTTTTTACTGTATTTAAAGGTACTTTGTAAGAAAGGACTTCCCTGGTCCCATTTAAAGCATATCATTAACATAGGACATCAGTTGTGACCACATTACATTGCATATTAATTCAACTGTTTTTTTAATTAAACCCTTTATTTGTACTTTGTAATTTTATCTGAAGTATGTCCTACCAGTACATCACTGTACTGCTTATTTCACTTAACTTATGTTTTTGCTCATCTCCCTATCTTCCCATTCCCCCAGTGTATCAGGATTAAAAGTATTTAAATGCAGGACTGTCTTCTCCATCTCAATACGCTTTAGATGTATCAGAATTACAAGAGAATTCTTATGTATAGGAATTCAAGGAACTGAAGGGTCTCAGGGTGGGGAAACCTGATGTTTTTGTAATAAAAGTATCTGAAAGTGAGAATCCCCGGGCTTTTCTTCTCCTATAGTTAGATTTATTTTCACAGTGGGCATTTAAAAAATGAAATGATAAAAACCATAACCCTGAAAGAAAAAAACAACCCATTTAACCTACTCTTGTTCAGCAATGCTGCCCCCCTCTTTTTTAATTCTAAGTTGAAAGTGTTTTGCTGACAAATATTTTGTTAAATTAAGTTTCCCTTTGTAGTTTAAAAAAGCAGAATCAGCTTTTAAAAGGAAAAGCCATGTTCGGGGCAAAGTAAATTGAGTTTGAGACCTCACCTATTGTACTTGTTGTACTTTTTTGTTGTACTTTTGTTGTATTTTTTTTCTACAGTAACTATAGTACTCTTTCCTTAACTTAGTCTATATCCAGAATCATCATTAACATCTATTTCAGTCTATATGCAATATTAGGATAAACATTTATTTGTACTGTTTGTAATGCCCTGCTTCTAAATAAAAATGGCCATTATTCTTAATGTTCTTGATTTTATAGAAACAGATAATCAGGAAAATAAATCAGGAAGAGATGAGGAATCCAAAGATCAAGGTAACGAAGTGTTCTTATTGTTGGTAGTTTCCTTAAAGATGTCCTGCTCTAAAAGAAATCCCTGGGCAAGAATTCATAATATACATTATTTATATTGAATTAATTTTCCTTGCAGAGAGGGGCACAAATCCTCATGATTACAGATATCACTTGCGAATGTGGGCCAAGGAGAAAGATGCCAGACAAGAAACAATCAAAGATCTTCCTAAGATGAGTCAGGTAGAAAGTTACTGGAGAATCTATGGATTTAAAATGATGTCTTTGAAGGAGATTTTTAGAATGTTAGATTAAGTTAGAAAGTTTGAAAACTTTAGTGCTGTAACTTTTTTATTGAGTTGTTATGTAGGTAGATAGGTAGGTATGTTGGTATGTATTTGAGGTATTATTATTCCCTTTAAGGAAAATTGTCATGTTATCAGGACTAAGGAAGCAATTGAAGTGATTTGACCTGTGCCATATTTGAATAGTATTACTTTTGAAGGATAATTTGTTATAGGATAATTTATTACAGTAGAGGTGAGAGTTTGAAGCTTGAATCTCTTCCTTTTCTTTTTGCTCACTCATGCTCTCTCCCTCCCTATAAAATGGACTGAAAAAAACATACCCTTATAATTTGCACTCAACATTTGCATTCCATAAAATTATGGAATGAAAACAATAAAAAAGTAGCTTCTTTTATTGAGAGATTATTTTAACTCTTACATCAGCATCACCAAAACAAGGATAGAAGAGATATATTGAAAGGATGCCAAATACTACAACGGTGATAACAGAAAAAATGAATTAACATCTTGTTTAGCATTTTAGCATTATGAATAAAATATACAAAACAAAGTAGACTCTATACATATTATATAAGATAACTTGGTATACAACTTATGATTATGGAAAATAGCTTTAAATTCACCCCAATCTAAAAATAGAAGTACATTTTAAAATCAAACATCATTAATATACTCTGTTGTACATGCACACTTACCTCCATTCTAATTGTCTAAACCAGATGACTTTCTTACAATATTGTGTATTTACATATTGTGTATTTTATCATTGGTTGATGAATTTGACCAACAAATTTTAGAGTTAAAGACTCGGTCATATGTTATCAATGCCTATAAATATATCGCAGCTACTAGTAGGTGTTTCTGGTCTGGATTATTAATATGTAATACTTTATTATCTAGATTTTTACAATGTTAATATCTCAAATGGGAATTTACAATGCTATGGCTGGGATGTTAACTTGAGAGGATTAAGAGAACATCTATTAGAAGTGGGCATTAGCTTTGCATTTTCTGTTTGAAGATTTTTCACCTTATTAATTGCCATCATATGTCTTTCTTTCTTTTAAGGAGCAGTTTATAGAATTGTGCAAGACCCTATATAACATGTTCAGCGAAGATTCTTTGGAGCAAGAACTATACCATGCCATTGCCACTGTTGCCAGCCTTCTCCTACAAATTGGAGAGGTTGGCAAAAAGTTTTCTAATCAGCCTGTTAAAAAGGACCCTGTAAGTAAAGAGTCTCCAGCTTCTGATCAAAGTCAGAGTTCAATTCTAGAGCAATATTCTCAGGCTACTCCAGAAGGCAAAGCTTCTGGGGACATTCAAATTGAGAAAAACCAACAGGGAAATCAGATTTTTGTAGATGGAGGAGGTGAAGGTCCAGGATCACCCATACAGTTGTTTTCAGATGATGAAACTAAAGATGATATGTCCATGTCTTCATATTCTATGATTAGCACAGGCTCCTTACAGTGTGAAGATATTGCGGATGATACAGTTCTAGTTGGTTGTGAGGCAGGCAGCTCAGCTGCACGATGTGGTAGCACCATTGATACAGACTGGTCCATCTCCTTTGAACAGATCTTAGCCTCTATCCTTACAGAATCAGTCTTAGTAAACTACTTTGAGAAGAAAACTGATGTTGCACAGAAAATCAAGGAGCAAAGGAAAATTGAAAGACAATTCAGTTCATCCAGTGATTATGAACTCCCCTCAGTATCAGGCTGAACTTGAGGAATAAGGCCAAGATTGGGCAAGAGGCAGGTCTAGGAACCTAATGGGTGGACAGGGTTTTTTTTAAACCAACACCAGTAACTATGCATTAATTAAGGGAACTGAATAAGGAGTTTATCATACTGATTCTTTGATATGTGAGCTTCCCTGGAGGATAACTTGCTTGCCGAAATAACATTAAATTCTCAAAAGCATGAAAGGATAGAATTGAATAGCCTCTTGGGTTAAAATTACTATAGTAAATTATGCATGTGTGCCTCTGCTTGTCTTTCTGTAATGCAGCTTAATTTCAGGCACACCTATGCTATAGCTCCCTTTTCTTTGGATTTCTTGGTAATTATTTAGAAGTGCAGCCCTGCTTTCTATCTTTTCCCTGTGTCCTAACACAGACATTCAAAATGCTGTAGATATTCCTGCCTAAATAAACCTTGCTAGGAATTGATAAATTCAGTGAAGTAACTTGTTGAATGTAAATATGTTGTATTCTCTTACTCTTGGCATCTTGCAATTCAAAATGCCCCAATGTCTTGGGACAGCTGGTTTCTATCCCAAGTGATTCATTAATATTAATCAGTACAGTATATAACTTTCAAAATTTCAAAGACAGATATTTACTAATATCTTTTAGCCCCTTTTTAACTCTTCGGTGCCATGTTCATTTTTAATTTCCCTGAAAGAAAGGAGTGTAATAGCCATTGAGAATGGAGCAGAGTCCTGAGGATCACAAGACACAAAAGACTTAACTGTCTGACCATTTTATTGTTTCTTCTTAATTTGAGATGGTACATAGCCTGAGCTAATTACTTATAGTCTGTTATCTTTGATTGCTGGCATAATTAGAAAGCCTCTGTAAGTCATGTTTTTCTCTGTGATCCGAAGTAGGTCTTTTTTGTTTGTAAATACATCCATAGGAAATGCAAATGTAAATGCATAACTTACTTGCTATGTGGTGACCCAAATGTTGTACATCATTTGAATTGCAGTACAATGGAAATATTGCAATTGTATATGTAATGTATATTAATAGGTGAGGTTTAGATCACCTCGTGTTCTGATGGTGTAGTATAAATATTCAGATACAGGACCCATCCTCTACAAAATCATTTGTGGATTGGAAGAAAACTGGAGCTCCATTTTGGATTGATAGCTTCCCTATGGGAAGGCATTCACTCTCAAGAAGCATTATTTGTTTATATTTGTATACATGCTCTGTACACTAGTTGCATGAATTACATTTAAATTGTATAAATGCCGTGTATGGTAATTGCTGAACCAGCCATTAGTGTTGTCACATTGGCTGTTCAGAAGGAGAAAAGTCTAAAGATCTTGAATATGTGTATCCATGGAATACACCAGTAGGTGCAATATCCAGTGTTATTCTGATTGTGGCGTATTCTGTATATTTAAGTCTCAAATTTCATATTCATGTATCTGAAAGCAGATAATAATGACATTGGCTTTTACTAATTCTTGATAATTTATTATGTTTTAATTATATATTTACACACAAAAAACATACATGTAATTTTACATCATTTGTCTGATCAATCATGTATATATTCAATAAATGAATCAAACCAGTCATAAATTTGTTTTCATTTTAATTTATCATCAGATTATCTGCTTAAGATAAATGCTATTATGTTCCACATTTCATTTTTCAAATACATAGCAAAAGTTCTGTAAGTAATTAAATGATTTAAATCCTGACTTAATTAGGCTAAAGCTTAACTCAACTTTTTAATGTTATGGGTTAGCTTTGAGATTTGCAAAAGCAGTGCCTTTCATAATGGGAAGAGACCCATTAATGCTTTTTCATTCATTGACCTAGGACATCTATACAGTTATTATCTGAGATAAGAATAAACTTTTTTCAACTTCTCATTCTAGACTAGTGGTCATCTGATCAATGTTTTAAGAACCTTTCTGTTGATATTTCACAAGATTAAAAGAGTTGGGTTACTACTTCTTTGGAAGATTTGTCCAGATTTCCCATTCCTTTTAGATCTTCACAGCTATCTCCTGCAATAATTTTTGCATGCAAACAATTGGAACAAAGATGCTGTGTGACTCTGCTCTCATCCCAAATCCACATTCCAACACTGAATAGCATTACTTAATAATTATACATTATATCTGAGCTAAAAATTTTAATACATGATCTGTTACCTGGCTGCCTAAGCCATTCTCTCTCAAAACCGTAATCTATTCGTGATATAGTACAACAAGCAGTATTCTGACATCAGTTTGTTACCCTTCCTAGGAGGAGTGCACCTTTTACTCATTCCTTGGGAATCACATTCTACAATTTATTACATTCTTTAGTATAAAAACGTTTGCAGAACAATTGTTAAACATCTTGACATCGCACATTTGAGGGGTCCTTGGTGCTAACAGATAACAGATTGACTCAGAGTTGGAAGGGATCTTATAGGTCATCTAGTCCAACCCCCTCGCCCAAGTGGGAGACCCTGCACCATTTCTGACAAATGGCAAAACAATCTCTTGAAGGTCTCAAGTGCTCTCTGAGCTTGGTTATTTTCTTGCAGACATTTTATTACCCAAACTAGGTAACATCTGCTGTTACTAGTTTATAATATTTATAATAGTAATAATTTATAATGATAATAACTGTGTTGGTCACGTTACCTAGTTTAGGTAATGAAACCTCTGCAATAAAACAAGCTCAGAGAGCATCAAGGACCCCCTCAAATGTGTGATTGTTAATGTCAAGATGTTTAACAACTGTTTGGCAAACATTTTTATGCTGAAGAATGTAATAAATTGTAGAACAAGATTATTCCCAAAATCAAAAGATGTGCCCGTTATTGGGAAGGGTAAGAAACTGGCCCAAGCGCCAAACACTCCTCCTCATTTCAGCACTAAACTACAAATATTCTCCTTTTATCAGTCACGCATTTTTCCAAATAAATACATCTAATTTTAAGAAAACTTCACCTTTACGGAGGACGCGCGCGGAGACGTACTCCGTTTCCTCGCTAAGGTCGAAAAGCAGAACTCAGACCAGGCCTCCGCAGACACAGCAGCTCTTTGCGTTTCATCCGGGCTTTGAAGCCCCACCCCCCCGTTGCTCTCAGCCAATGGGCTCGCATCAAAACAGTCCCTTTTAAACCAATACAAAAGGGTTTAAGGCATGTGCAAGGCGGAGGACTGTGGGTGGCGCGTCGCGCGTTTTCCCGCCTAAAGCCCTCACCGAGAGGAGCGAAGCGAAGCAGAGAGATCGGCTTACGACACGATATTGGTGGATTGGTGTCTGGTCTCAGAAGAAGGAAGTTTTGTTTTGTTTTGTTTTCGCTCGAAAGCCCCAGACAATTCCCCCTCACCCCACCCCTTTTTTAATGGCTCAACAGTTTCAAGTGCTGAGGTGCTGTTCCTGTAACATCTTTCAAGTGCAGCAGGTCAGAAACGGGGAGAGCGACTGGCTGTAGCGCGGGATACTTTTTTTTATTGTTATTTGTAAACGGAAAAGGCTAATTTGAACCGAACCAAGGAAATGAAATCCTACCAGATTATTAGAACAGCAGAAATATTTCATTTCCTTAAAGAAAAAAAAATAGTACTCCAGGTTGGCGGGAGGTATAGGAATTGTAGGGGGGAAAGGCCTCCATTTTCAAGATTGGGATGCTTTTCTTGGGTGGGCAACTAGGGCCCCTTTACCAGTAGTGGACTTTTAACTCCCAGAATTCCTGAGCCAGCCATGCTGGGAGGCAGCAATTCTGGGAGTTGAAGTCCACAGGTCATAAAGGGGACCATAATTGCCCACCCTTGTTCTTGAACAAATGGCAGATCTTCATAATGCACCTGGAATTAGAGAAAAATTTGTTTGGCAATAGCCTGATGCATAAAATCAAATAGACTTTAGTTTCACTGAGCCTTTTCCAATCTGGTCCTTCAGTTGCTTTGAACACCCATTCCCCTAATCCACAACTAACAACATGAATAAGGGATGAGAGTGATTGTCTTACTTAGTGATTGTCTCCCAGACAGCAAGTTAATTGCCATGTAATATATGTCCTTAATTTACTGTCAGTTTTCCCACTTCTATACTTATAAGGTACTTTGGTTGATTTTTCTCATAATGGCATATTTTGCAGATTGCACGTACAACACCATATAAAAAGTTGAAATCTCTTGAGTTGTTGAACTCACAGACAGGTCCATGCAATTTTTCCAGACAATATGGAAATGGTTTGTCAGTGCCTCCTGAGATTTCCTGGTGATCTTTTAACCAAGTGTTAACTAAATCTGACCCTTCCAAGAAGGTCAGCTGGATGAAGCTGCCTGCTGAGTTATGCTGTGTAGTGACAATACTATAGACAGAAGAATCTTGATCCTATTTCATTATATATTTACAATAGATTTAAATTATAGAGAAGATTTCTGAATTTACTGTTTTTGTAAATTCCACTGAACTTAAAACTTAAATATTTAAATACTTAAAATGAAGCAGAAAATTAGGAATTTCTAACAGACATATTGACTGTTAAAAAGGACCTCAAAGTGTGGAAAATTTTAAACATAAATAGTATGTTGAAAGAAAAGTTTAAATAATAATAATACATGTAATAAATCTCTAAAACCACATATATTTAAAACAAAACAATTAAAAATTCTGTGATGGGATCTATGGTAAGAAAAAGTAACAAAGTTGTTACAGTTTTAGTCAAAAATTTAAAATGTAACTTTTGTCGGTGAAAAGTTACATTTTAAACTGGTGTCAAAGTATGTAAAGTTTTGCATCAACATTTCTGTTGCACATGACATAATTTTAACTAGTGTAAATTATATTAGCTAAATAAGTATATTTAATTTGCATAATTTAGACAGATTATGATGCACAGTAGAATTATATCTTAGAAGTGGAGGGTTTAGTCACTAGATTGTAAATTTAGAGCTATTTGGGGAAAGACCATTTTTTGTGTCTATATGTAAATTCAATCTTTATCTTTGGAAATCCTGAACACAATCTGAACAGGAACTGGAGTAACGATTAGAGAACAATCAACCAATGGAACAGCTTGCCCTCGGTAGTTGTGGGATTGCCATCAGTTGAGACTTTCAAGAAGAGATTGGACTGCCATTTGGTGTAGGATCTCCCACTTGAGCAGGGGGGCGAGGGTTGGACTAGATGACCTACAAGGTCCCTTCCAACTCTGATTATCTGTATCTATTAATTCAAATATAGTAATTATACTTAAAATTCTTTCTTAGGTTAAAAAAAGCAAAAAATGGAACTGCAAAATATGTGATGAAAAGCAGTCAATTCTTAGGGTACGTAACCCAACCCATGTTTCTTTATTAAAGTTAACACTAATAGTGGAACAGCTTTTTGATAACAACTCTTCTTTAATATTAGTCTTCAATTCTTTAGCAAATTACCTATGGGTCAGTCTCACTGAAGTTCACAGAAGTTACTTTTGATTTTATATGTATTAGTTTTCTAATATTAAATAAAACTTTGTCATCTTGCAAAAAGAAGTTTTGTGAAAATGCTCATATAACATGAGCATTAAAGTTTAATGATGCTTTATTTTTCTTTCTTATACACACATCTTCATAGAATACTGTTAATACATGGACAAGTGTAAAGAGTGCAAAATATGGCAGCTATGCTTCTACTGGCCCAAATATAGAGATTGTGTGATATATGTACTGAAAGATTTATACTAGGTTCATCTTTCTAATAGGTGACAATTTAAGGTGCTGATTTTAACTTTTGAAATACTGAACAATTTAGAATCTAACTAGCTAAGGGATCATCTTTCTGTTATGTTAAAATCTGGCAGGGAGCCCTTTTGAAGTTGCCCCTGCTGCCATATTTTGGTGTTCTGATATGAGATAAGGAATCATCAGTTATCCTCTGGAAATTATCTTTGGCCCCACATTCTTGACATTAGAATATACAAATTTCTTTTAATTTTCTCTTTTGCTTTACACTTGACTAGAACTTTAACTTGCTTTTTAAAACATTTGTAATTTAATTATTGTTAACTAACAGGTATACTTGTTCAAGAAGAAAAGCAAGATATACATTCAATTATATGTGCCGTAGTATAATGCAGCACAGTATAGCATAAAAAAGAATTAATATTACATGGTGATTATGGCAAAAAGTGCTAGCTAATGTTTTGTCCAGCTATGAAATGGTAAACTGAACTTTGTAATATGAGCTTTCTAATGTCAACATTTCCAAGATATTTTCTTGTCTAAACAGAGAAACAGAATAACTATGGATAGGCAAAATATATCAGTGGGAGCAGGAATGAATTCCTGTTGGCTTTCCAACTGGGTGTTCTTATGGAAAGCTAGTAGTAAGTGCTGGAAATCTTCTTCTCTTCCACTCTCCCTCCCTCCTCAGCAGGCAGGTAAGTACTTGGCTGCTCTCGGGCAGGAGAATGATTGAGGAAATGTGGTGTGAGCACCCATGGCCTTCCCATGAATTTACAGGAAGCTGATAGGGAATGTTGAAAATGAAAAATGGCATGATCTCAGTTGACCATGATTGTGCAGCAGCAGCATTGAAGAAACGGCACTCAGCACTAAAGCAACCACAACTTCC